CGCGGTGGAGTGTTAAGTCTGAGGTGTACTAGACTAGGAGGTAGTGGCCGCAGCAGCCGACTACTAATTGCTACTAACCTAACTAAGACTAGCTGCTAGAAGTCTAACAAACATGGATACTGTTACATAAACGCAGATTAAACGGCCGGAGCAGCCGCTGGCCGAAACAGCCAGAAAAGTGCCGAAGCAGCGCCGCAGCCCGACTGGCCACGCTAGCTTTGCTTGAGCAGAAGCCGCTATGACGCATCACAAATTTGTCACCAAGTTCAAGTGAGGTTAACATTTCTTATGCTTTGTAGTTATCGTTGCTTAATCGCTGCTTAGGCCGTCCTAAGGAGAGGTNNTCCGTCCTCTCCTTAGGACAGTCAAGGACGACCTCGAGCGTCGGAAGGAGAGGGTTAGGAGCAGACAACTGCAATCTCGCCCTTAGGGCTTAACGGTATTAGCTGTTTTGCCCCCTCCGCGCCCTCTCCTTCGGACAGCCAAGGACGACCTCGAACGGCGTAAGGAGAGGTCAATCCGTCCTCTTCTTAGGACAGTCAAGGACGTCCCCGAATCAGCGTGCCGCCTCCTTAGGACAGTCAAGGACGTCCCCGAATCGGGGTTCCAACCCCTTAGGACAGTCAAGGACGTCCCCGAATCACGGTTCCAACCCCTTAGGACAGCCAAGGACGTCCCCGAACCGAGGTTCTTAATAGTCAAGGACGTCCCCGACTGGTGCTGCAGCATACAGTTTTAAATTTCGTAGTAGTTACGACAAGGACCGGTGCTACTAAGGACTAGTCGGGTTACTGTCTAAAACTTTCCAAGCAAGACTCTGACAGAGATGAAAGTCTCAGCCTCCTCCTCAAGTCTGTTGGGCAGCCTAAGATCTAAAACCAGGACCCTGAAACCCTCTTTTGAAACATCATGTGAAACCTAAATCGAACTAAGCAATAAGTCTTTCATTTTTGCCAACTTAAAGGCTTCAACATCCAGGACTATTTTGCTGAACGACCTGCCCCCCCCCCAACCTATCTCTCCCAGCAAAGCTGTTTTTACGATTCGCGATCGTAC